GAATGTCGCAGACAGAATGCTATTGGAAGGGGGCCTGTGGAAATGACATTTGTCGAGAGCGATGGCGATTGATATGTAGCACTCTGCGCCGAGCCGAGGAAGGCTATTGCTGCTGGGAGTATAAGGCTATATAAGAATTCTATAGAACATGGCCACTGCTGGATAAAGCCAATAGAAAGCCGGATAGTATACCAATAAATGTTCAGATGTGAGAAAAAAATCGATGAATATATGCTGCTGAAACACATGATGAAGGAATCAAACAGGTGACCTTTGAAAAAGGGTCGCTATCGATACATAAGCATTAATAACCTAACAACGTTTTAATTTACCTTGGTATCCAGCAGCACGGCGCACATGATGCCGGTATTGGCGGACGCTGTGCGAAGATTGTCCAGGGTCTCCTGATGGTAGTCGTGCGAACCGTGAGAGAAATTAAAGCGCGCGACGCTCATTCCCGCGCGAAGCAGGTTCTCCAGGATAGGGACTTCTCGGGATTTCGGCCCGAGAGTGCAGATAATCTTAGTCTTGGCGACGGCATGCTCGTCTGAGGTCAGAAGCTCGTCGATCTGCATCCCAACCATCTTGACCGTCGGTTGAGATTTTGCTGATTAGGTCGATACGATACGATGCTCTCTGGACCTAGGACGAGAATGAACAGGCTCTGAAACAAACTAAACCCGGCGAAAAGGAGCAATTGCTGCACACTGCTACGTTATCCGGATAATTCAGGACTTTATAGCAGTGCGAAGAAATAAACCGATCAGCTGCTTCTGCGGGATCGGCACAGAATCACCGAGATAAGAGCCACACAAGCCAAGTGACACTCCCAAGGCAGCTGCTGCTGGGATGCTGAATCAGAAGACCACTGTCAAGAGAGCCACAGCTTCCTAAATCAGAAATCGAGCAGATCAGGCGTGTCACTTCTTCGTTGGGTACCAACGGTTGAGTACGATGCTGTGCTCCTTAAAGCGGTACGATTCCTTCACCGAATTCAACCGCACCTTACCTGTCATGAAAACCCCTCCAGCCAGTGCATCTAGTGGAGGAGCTGCCTCTCCGCGACTGTGACTGACGGATGAGGTTCGGACATTGACACTCGGAATGATTCCGCGAACGAGGTACAGCTTTGTTGTGATTGCACACACAGCCACAAATCCCACAAGTGGTCTGGTTCGGGAAGATCAGAAGGTGAGCCTGTTTGCCCAAAGATAGGCTGATTTGGTTGAGGCTCGGCAGAAGGGACTCTCGATAGATGATTGGCCTGACGACAACCTCGAGTCGTACGTGTGGCGGAGTGGCTTCCGCAGACTTCCTGGCCAGCTGGGGGTTTAGTTAGAGGGTTTCTGGCCTGCCTCGGTTTCGCATCTTCACACCACATCGTGTTACACAGTCGATGCTGGGGCTAGCGAAGCACGCGAGGACATAAAGTTACACAATTTCGGAATCGCAGATAAAGCAATGTTTGTCCATCCAGTATAGGACACGTGGATTTAATACCACCCAATGAGATTGGAATAGGGATCTAACTCGATAACACTACGCCACGTACGACATTCACATCGCAGATGCGAGTTGGTTACAGTAACAGGTGAGGATACGAAGTTGGCACTAACGAGGTAATTGCGAAGTTACCCTAGACCCTGCTCGAACGGTTTGCCGGCGCCGAGCGAAGAATTTACAGCACCATTGTTGGCGAGGCGTCATAGACCGACTGTCGGCAACCGGAAACGGGAGCTACATTGTGGTGGCTTTGACGTCGCGACAATCTGAACGAGTGGCCTGCGAGCTTCGCATCCTTCTGCGAAGCTAGTTTCCATCCAAAGGTAACGTGTCACCGTCAACAAATCGCCCACTCGCGGACGGTGGGGGTCCCATGTTGTTGTGTACAGCACAGCTTCATGCGGCGCGGGCTTTCAACAGCCCGACTCGGGATAGAAATTGCTCCATTTGAGAACATCTACAAATTTGGAACCACCACACTTTCCAGTCATCACCAAACACAGCAGAGCATTCATTCCCGATCAATACTAGTTACCAACTTTCTGCAAGCTTCCTAGCTCTTGTCACCAAGCATAGCCCTGCAAGCCTCACTTAAGCTTCCCAAAAACGTCTCGAACGAGTATCTTAGCTATGGGTTTCAGCAAAACCGCCCTGTCTGTCGTCCTTCTATCTCTCCTTGCCATTTCGCAAGTCGCCTGCCAGAAACCCAACAACAACAGCGCCAAGTACAAGTTCCCGCCCAAGATTGCAGGCGCAGTAGAGGCGGTTCTTCTGGGCGTCAATATCGTCAACCAGACCGGCCAAGTTACCGGCGACGTCAACTCTGCTGGACGCGTCAGCCTCGCCCTCATCAAAACCAACACCTCTACTTTCGACATCCGTTACAATGTAACCATCCAGGTTTCTTCCCCAGAGATCCCAACCACGGTTACCATCAACAGCGGGGCCGCCAAGACCTCAGGCGCTGTCGTGCTCGAACTCTCACCTTCTGCCACGTGGATTAACGTCACTGGTACCGTGGGAGCCATCACGACAGGGAACGCCTGGGGGCAGGGTGCAAGGAGGTCCGGGATCGGCACCAAGCCTGCTTCCGTGCCTGTCTACACCTACAGCTTCAATGGCACGTGGCAGAACGTGAGTGGTCTGACAACAGCCAATGGAAAGAGCTACAAGGCAGTGTTCGAGGCTATTTCTGCCAAGCCTAAGAACTTCTATTCTGTTGTTTCCTCTGCTAGCCTGCCTGCGGGGTCTGCCCGAGGGCAGTTTGCCAAGGTTCCCCTGGGCTGGGGTGTATGGAAGAACTGGTAGACTAGAATGTAGAAGAGGCAGTTGTGTGCTGGCATTGTACAGTCAGGAAGCTGTTGAGAAAAGATTGCTTTAGTAGCACAGATGTATGTTGTCTGTTTGCCATGCATTTCACAATTGAACCAGTGACTTCAGTAACCCATTCCCCCATGGCAGCATGCCATGCGCCCTCTGGCTCAATCCAAGATTTGCACCACAGAGCCATACTAGTAGTACCAGGCCAAGGGCAACCCTTCTGTGCACTGCAAATGGCATAGCACGTCCTAAGGATGAAAGAGTGAGCGGTGGGATGGGATGGGAAGGTAGGAGTGCAGAGTGCACATTTTCTACAACCCTATCCACTTCTTGGAATGGCAGCCGCTGACAGCGGTCTACTGAGCCCCATCTCCAATCCCCCTCACTGGGGAAAAGAACCAGCACCTGTCCATAGAGTGACATGAGAGGTGAAAAGGCTTTCAGCCTTCATCCCTCATCTTCCTCTGCCTCCTGCGATGGACAGAAGAGGTGGGGGAAATGCGAATGGTTGTTAGATGGAATGGCTGGTGATGACGACACCCACGAGAAGACAGTTTCACTTATCCACCATAGTATATATCGCACTCACCCACTCCACTCACCCCATGAATATTGACAACCTCCAAACAAGGAAAGCTCATCTTAGCAGGCTTGAAGCTCACTTTGAAAAAAACAAACAAGCAAACAACAAACGAACCTTCAACATGAAACGTGATGCACAGGCAACTCACCTCCTCCCCATCGCCATCTTCATCGTCGTCCTCCTCCCCTTCCTCCCCCTCACCCCCCTCCTCATCTTCCTCATCCTCATCTCCCTCAAAATCCTCCCCTTCCTGCAACGCCATGGCACGAGGGAGAGAGCATAATCAGCAAGGGAGGAACCACAGTGAGCAGTAACGCTTCTAATTCTGCACAGAAGAGGATTATCTTCCCCACCCACGGAGCTGACGCAAAATCATTGCCATACAACAGGTGGCGTGGGGGAAGGTAAGAGGGGGGGGGGGGGAGGGTTGGAGTTAGCATGTGAGAATATCACACTCCCACATAACAACCAGTGCAACTGATGTTCTGATACACCTCAAGAGCTCTTCGTTCCTCACTCATACACCCTTCCCTCCCCATTCATCCTCCCCATTCATCCTCCCCATTCATCCTCCCCATTCCCCCGCCCCCTCCACCCCCGCCCTCCCACCTGCCCTCCCTCCCCACATGCAGGTAGTGCTGCAGCGGGGTGGCCCACACATCGTCCTCGATCAGCTCCGCCACCTGCCACCCTTCCCTCCCCATTCACCGCAATGCCTCCCCAGTCACCCTCCACCCGCCCCCTCATCGCACATCCGCCCCCTCATCGCACATCCGCCCCCTCATCGCACATCCGCCCCCTCATCGCACATTCGCCCCCTCATCGCACATCCGCCCCCTCATCGCACATTCGTCCCCTCATCGCACATCCGCCCCCTCATCGCACATCCGCCCCCTCATCGCACATCCGCCCCCTCATCGCACATCCGCCCCCTCATCGCACATCCGCCCCCTCATCGCACATCCGCCCCCTCATCGCACATCCGCCCCCTCATCGCACATTCGCCCCCTCATCGCACATCCGCCCCCTCATCGCACATCCGCCCCCTCATCGCACATCCGCCCCCTTATCGCACATCCGCCCCCTTATCGCACCTGCAGGTAGTGATTCAGCGCGTTGACCCACACATCGTCCTTGATCAGCTCTGCCACCTGCCACAGCGGAGGAGAGGCACAGCGGAGGAGAGGCACAGCGGAGAAGAGGCACAGCGGAGGAGAGGCACAGCGGAGGAGAGGCACAGCGGAGAAGAGGCACAGCGGAGAAGAGGCACAGCGGAGAAGAGGCACAGTGGAGGAGAGGCACAGCGGAGAAGAGGCACAGCGGAGAAGAGGCACAGCGGAGGAGAGGCACAGCGGAGGAGAGGCACAGCGGCACATTCGTGTGGAAGAGACAGGGAGGCAGAGAGGCAGAGGGGCAGAGCGACAGAGCGGAGCGGCACAGAGCAGTGAGAACGTTTATTTCTTTCCTTCCAGGTGCCACGAGAAAATAGTTGGACTGCCATGGAGCAGTGAGGAAGAGTGATGGGCCGATTGGCAGGGAGTGGGGCCGGGGAAAAATCCCCATCATCCTTCATATCTATCACTGTCGCTATAACTCATATGATCCCCCCTCCCACCGCTCTGACTGACATGATCCCCCCCCTCCCACCGCTCTGACTGACATGATCCCCCCCCTCCCACCGCTCTGACTGACATGATCCCCCCCCTCCCACCGCTCTGACTGACATGATCCCCCCCCTCCCACCGCTCTGACTCACATCATCGGGTGGTGAGGTGCCCTGGGTGGCTTCGTCCACTTCAAACCACTTGAAGAAGCTGCAGCACAGCAGGCCAGGGGGAAATGGGAGTGGGATTCCGGGAAGAGGGAGGGAATCAATGTGCCTGTTCCGTACCACTTCATTCAAAACCCTGGAAGAAAGAAAAGCTGCGGGCGAGGGGCACAGCAGGAGGAGGGGAGACGAGAGGAGTGAAAGAGTTCATATAAAACTACGTCACGGGAAGACGCTGCAGGAGAGGGAGGGGGGCACAGACACCGGGGGTCGGGGCGAAGAGGGTGGGGGCAGCACTGTAGCACTTGTGGTTTTCTGCCCTTTTCAGCCAACAACATGCTTTCTAACAAGAGTACAACACAGAGATTGAAAGCGACTGAGAGCGGCGAATGAGAGAGGCAGCTCGGCTCTCAGGTAAGTGACAAAGCAGCTCACCTCTCCTGCTCCTCCAGTTGTCTCTTCTTGCCTGCCTTGTCCTGCTTCGGCTTTTGTGCCGTCAGGTCCTAGAGAGCAGCACACGCGAGAGAGGGGCAGGAGGGTGGGAGAGAGGGCGGACGATGCAAGAGGGGCGGATGATGGGAGAGGGGCGGATGATGGGTGAGGGGCGGATGATGGGAGAGGGGCGGATGATGGGTGAGGGGCGGATGATGGGAGAGGGGCGGATGATGGGTGAGGGGCGGATGATGGGAGAGGGGCGGATGATGGGTGAGGGGCGGATGATGGGAGAGGGGCGGATGATGGGTGAGGGGCGGATGATGGGAGAGGGGCGGATGATGGGTGAGGGGCGGATGATGGGAGAGGGGACAGAATAGGGAGAGGGAGTGGACGAAGAGGGATGTAAGGTGAAGGGCATAGATGTTCAGGATGGGTGAAGACAAGAGGGGAAGGGAAGCGAGTTGGAGGTTTTGGGGAGGGGGGATAAAGGCGAGGGATCAAAGAGAGTGGATCAAGGCAACATCAACCTTGTTAAGAATATGACCGACACTTATCCCACCATGTCCATTAGAAACAAGACCATGCACACACAGCACCAATCCCGCTCGTCTCACCATGCCCTCCTCCCACTCGTCTCACCATGCCCTCCTTCCACTCGTCTCACCATGCCCTCCTCCCACTCGTCTCACCATGCCCTCCTTCCACTCGTCTCACCATGCCCTCCTCCCACTCGTCTCACCATGCCCTCCTTCCACTCGATCTTGGTGCCCTCCACGTTGGCAGTGCCCTCCTCCGTGTATTTGTAGCTCTTGGTCAGCTCCTTATTTGAGAAGTATGGGTTCTCCGCGAATGTCTGCCAGTCCAACCGAACAGGGGTGACGAATTCGATGTGGACGATAGAGAGAAAGGCAATAAATCACATCACTTTTAGATGTACAGTTAAAAAAACAAAAATATCAAACATGCATTCTTTAGAGGCGAATCAATTACACCTGGATGCCGGTTCCCCTTAACGAGGTTTAGGGCTTTATGGAGGGACAATCACGTCGGGGGCAAAACCTACCCTAGACACATGAACCCTCTGCTTCAAAGCCTGACAAGCTGACACGTAGATTACCAGTAAGCGAGAAGAATGGGTGGATGATGGGAGAAGCTAAAGTACTAACCGGTGAGATCCTAAGGGTTTGCCAGAACGTACGAAGGTGATGCTGTAACCCAACTTGATGTCTTTATAGTCCTCCACGTCTAACCCCCTCAGATACTCCAACACCTGCACGGGTGGCACACAGGAGAGGAGGGACGGATGGAGCATAGGGAGAGGGGGGGAGTGCAGGAAGGAGGGTGGCGTGGCACAAAGGTGATGCTGTAACCCGACTTGATGTCTTTACAATCCTCTACGTCCAACCCCCTCAGATACTCCAACACCTGCACGGGTGGTGCGCAGGAGAGCAGGGGTTGGGGGGAGCGTAGGAGAGAAGTGGGAAGCGCAGGAAGGAGGAGGGCGTAGCACAAAGGTGATGCTGTAACCCGACTTGGTGTCTTTATAATCCTCCACGTCCAACCCCCTCAGATACACCAGCGCCTGCAGAGTAGCGCGCAGCAGAGAGGAGAAGAGTGTGGGAGGGAGGAGAGTGTGGGGAGAAGGAGGGTGGCACAAAGGTGATGCTGTAACCCGACTTGATGTCTTTATAATCCTTTACGTCTAACCCCCTCATATACTCCAACACCTGCAGGATAGCGCGCAGGAGAGGAGGGAGCGGGGAGAGCATGGAAATTCGGAGGGTGGGTTGAGTGTAACAAGGGGGGAGACCGTAGTACGGGGGGGTTGGGGAAGTGAGGGAGCCGTACGAATGACATGGTGACTGGTATGGGAGGACGAAGGAAGGAGAGAATGGAAAAGCGAAATCTGACGGCCAAGAACTTGATGGAGCGAAGTAGACATTGAGCGTACTCAGGGGAAGTGCGAGGCACAAGAACCGGGAGGCATTCAAGAGTTCCAGTGAGCATATTACGACTGTTCTCCCTCACCTGTCTGTCCTCTTCTGTGAAAAACGCGTGAAGAAGACCGTGATTGAGAAGCTGCGATCAACAACAAAAAAAAGGTTGACACAGACACAATGCGCGAAATAGTCAGTGGGGAAGAACGGCGGAACGGGAACGTCGAAAACGTAACAGCACCGACGAAAGGAGAGACCAGAAGGGTGGAAAAACACGCTTGGCCGACTCAACATACTGAGTCGACTTAGAAGAGCAACCGCGTACCACTGTCATCCAGAAGTCGTTAACTTCCGATACTACTTGCTGGCGTCGCTCGTAAATGGGCCGCTTTAGCTTGTTGTACTTCTGTTCTACTTCCAACACCTTGTCGCTCGCCTCTTCATTGACCTAAGACGAGCGAGAACGAAGAAGAGGGTATGAGGAGAGTACGATGAGGAGTGGAAGGAATAGTAGACTTAGTCTCTAGCTTGTTGTACTTCTGTTCTACTTCCAACACCTTGTCGCTCGCCTCCTCGTTGACCTAAGACGAGCGAGAACGAAGAGAAAATGCCACCGAGGTTAGAACGGAGAGAACGAGCAGGAAAGAGGGAATGGAGGGAGAGAAGGGGTTGAAGTCTATGGTGTTAGCGGTGGTGGAAAAGGCTATGGAGGAATGGTAGAGGCGGAAATCAGGCTCGAGGGGTTCTGACGAGAGCAGAATCATGTGCCTCCGTGCTGTCGAAAATGCGAAAGTTAAAGGGCGGAATCCGTCGGAATCTTAACGTAGTCTGCACCTTGTCTAGTTCGTCTTGGATCGCCGTCAACTGCTTTAACGCCTCGTCAATCTGCGCTGCGTCCGCCATTCCTCCTGACTCTTGAGGCAGCGAATCGAAGACACGACGATGCGGGATCGAGACCCAAAAAACAACGAGCAACTGCTTTCAACAGGCAAGCGTCTCGAAACTACGGGGGGGGCGTATTGCACGAAGAGGATTAAGCAGCAAACCCTAGCGGTTAAAGGCGACAGAAGGGATGATCAGGTGATCAAATGATCAAAAGAGAAGCAGAATATAGACGGTGTTATTCCTAAATTCCACTCGACACTGAGAAGGAATTTAGGGATCTTACTGTACGAGCCGCAAGCTCAGGGTTCTAGGAGAACCCTATGGGATGGGATTCGAAATGTTTCAGCAAACTGAGAGACTGTATTGGTTTGGGTTTCGTAGAAAAACGCAGTGTATCAGAAATTTAACTTCATCGGATTCGGCGATATCGCGGTTTCTCATGTTGATTTCTGCTCACAAGAGTTGCAGGTTCCGTAAACGTCAAGCTCACTACTGCCATCTTTCTGTGGTTCTAGAATACTTCAACTCACGATAAGACGCGGTTTTCTGCCAGTCTTTTTGACCTTATAGATGCAAATAGGCGGTGAGGTCCGCTTTTAGTTCGACCCGTAAATCTCCCTTTTCACCGCTGTCGCGGACGCGTGACCTTACGTAGAGTCCTGACGTCTCTTAGCGGCAATACCGAGGAATGGCGGAGGAGAAGGAGTTGAAGACGTGGGTGTCGGATCAGCTGTATCAAATCCTCGGCTACTCCGAGTCCAGCCTTGTTTCCTTCGTTATCGCGTTAGGTGCGTCGCTTATAGCGAATCCAATCGAATTCTGGTGATAGGTAGTGAATATTCTGCAGAGCGTGTGAATATGGTCGCGACTCGCTATTCGTTCAAGCTAGAAACTAATTCCAGTGTTCCATTCCAAATTTCACGCCTCTAGAATGCTTCCTTAGTCAAAGGTGGTCACATCACGAGTTTCTGAAGTGGTTTTTGCCTTACTTCCTGTCCCTCTCGTGCCACGTGTCCTCTCCACAGCTAAGAGATCGTCCAGCGTGAGCGCTCTCACATCCAGCCTCTCGTCCAATGGCCTTCCGGCGTCGCCTGCCACGTCAGCCTTCGCCAGCCAGCTGGCCTCGAGAATACCGAGCGCCAAGAAAGGCCCTTCAGTAGGTCCTGCTTATGATAGGGTTGCGGCTGGGAGGATAAGAAGCACTTGTAGGACCTACCTAGTAGCGGGTGGGGTAAGAAGCACTTGTAGGACCTACCTAGTAGCGGGTGGGGTAAGAAGCACTTGTAGGACCTACCTAGTATTGGGTGGGGAGGTTGGGAAGCACTTGGGCAATCTGCGGTAGGTTATGTATGGATGCTCTCCCGCATTAGCATTCTTAGCAATTTAGACTCTCGTTAGAACCTTGCACTCAGATTCGCCCTCCCCCCCTGTGTCGTGACCCGTTCTCCCTGCATTCTCTCGCCTATCTTATCGTTGGCTGCAATCTGTGGCAGGCATACAAGACGGAAGAGAAAGCAGCCATAGAGTTTGCTCGCCGGCAGCAGCAGTACGCTCTGCTAGACGTGGATGATGACGAGGAGGAGGAGGAGCGGGAGAGGGAGAGGCAGAGGGGGAGGGAACGGGAGGAGAGGGAGAGGAAGGAGGAAGAGAGGGAGAGGGATGGGCGAGGGGGGGCGGGGGTGGGGGAGGGAGGGAAGGAGGGGAAGAAGAGGAGGCAGTTGAGGAGGAGGAGAGATGAGATGGACGGCAGGGATGATGCGGATGATGATGCCACTGCTCAGGTGAGGTGGTAGTGACTGTTGACTTCCTGCACTCGTTTCCCGTGTTCGTAGTCTCATCTACTCATGTTCCCTATGTTGCAGCCACCTTTTATTTGCTTCTGTTCACCTGTTCATGCCGCTTTCCCACTTACTCGCTCCGGTTTCTCTTCCTCATGCCGCTGCCCTCCCCCTTCCCCAGGCCCTAGCAGAGTATCAGTGCAAGAAAGGCCGACAAGGCGAGCACATCCGATTTCTCCAGCTCATTCTCTTCACTTCCTCCTGCCCCTTTTTCACTTCCTCCCCCACCAGGCCCTGGCAGAGTATCAGCGCAAGAAAGGTCGGCAAGGCGAGCACAGGAGCGGGCGAAGGAAGGGAGAGGCAGAGGAGGAGGAGGATGAAGAGGTAGGGAGGGGAGCTGGAGTGATGAAGTGGGTGGGATAGGACGGTTAGGGTGCGTTGAACGCTCTTCTTTGTAGGGAGCGTCGCATAAGGGGTTAGGAGGCTTTGAGCATGGAGCTGCAAAAGGTGAAGTGGGTGGGATAGGACGGTTAGGATGCGTTGAACGCTCTTCTTTGTATTGTAGGCGCCCCTACAGAGAGGCGCCCCTACAGAGAGGCGCCCCTACAGAGAGGCGCCCCTACAGAGAGGCGCCCCTACAGAGAGGCGCCCCTACAGAGAGGCGTCCCTACAGAGAGGCGTCCCTACAGAGAGGCGCCGCTACAGAGAGGCGTCCCTACAGAGAGGCGCCGCTACAGAGAGGCGCCGCTACAGAGAGGTGGCCATACAGAGAGGCGCCCCTACAGATGTGTATTGCCTTGTTCTCTCATGGGTTGTGATCTGTGTTTTTTTTTTTTTTTTTTTAATCTGTCGGGTGCTGCTGGGTGCTTGACAGGTGGCATTGGAGAGGCAGAGGGAGGCGGAGAGGGAGCGGGATCAGCTGGAGAGGGAGGAGTTTGAGGAGCGCCTCAAACAGCGAGATGAGGAGCGCACCAAGGTGGGCCCTTATTCCCCTGCCTCTCTCTTTCATTTCTTGTTTTTGCCTTGCTGTTTCGCCCAAATGAGTCGAGTTGCGAGGTGACTCAAAGCTGGAGAGGGAGGAGTTTGAGGAGCGCCTCAAGCAGCGCGATGAGGAGCGCACCAAGGTGGGGTGGACCCCCACCTTGGTTTTGCTCCTCTGTCTTCTCTCGTCAATATCTGGCTGCTTCGGCGTCCCTTCATCCCCCTTCGTCCCTGCTTCATTCCCCTCGAATATTTCCCATTTCACTTCCCCTTGCCCCCTTCGTCCCTCTCCTGCCCCCATCATCATCCTCTCCCCTCATCTCCTCTCGCCCTTCCGTGTAAGCTTCATCAATTGTCTTCTTCCTTCCATTGTATTCCTCCCCTCCACATGCCTCCACACCCCTCCACATCCCATTTTTCTGCTCGCAGAAGCTAGAGCCGAAGCTCTCCAAGAAGGAGCAAGGTCAGTCACGTGGTGCCACGTGTCACACTCTCCACGTCACCGTCCACACACGTCATCTGCCACATGTCACACTTCACATGCCATTGCATGTGTGCCACCGTCACCACTGCTTGTCCCTCAATCTATCTCTTTTTTTTTTTTTTTTTTTCCTCCGCTATCATTCCTGCCCAATGACGCTCTTCCTTCCCCTCCTGCTGCTCCTCGTCCACCCTTCCCGTCCCTCTCCCTCTCGCCTCTGTTTTGGTCACATCTCTGCCTTTAAACTCTGCATACTGTCACATCTCTGCCTTTAAACTCTGCATACTGTCACATCTCTGCCTTTAAACTCTGCATACTGTCACTCTCCTGCCTTTCAACTCTCCGTTCTGTCACAGATCCACCCTCCCTTTCTCCTTCGCCCCCGCTTCCCGAATCTCCCCTGCCTGTTCTTCCATCTCCTTCGCTTCCTCTGCCTGCTCTTCCCCTCCCTTCTCTCCCCTTGCCTGCCATACTGTATAATGTCGTGCGTGCACAACCCATCAGAGGCGCTAAGGAGGAGGGAGGAGGCGGAGCAGCAGCGGGAGCTGATGCCAAGCCTGAGGGAGATCTCACGGCAGGAGTATCTGTCCAAGCGAGAAGCCAAGAAGCTGCAGGAGCTCGAGTAAGCGCTTCCTGCTCTATGTGCCAAATTCCTTGTCTCCTCTCTGCTTTGCCTGTCCGCAATAATTGTATTGCAGGGATGAGCTGGTGGACGAAGCAACGTCTCGACGATTTATAATCCCCGTCACAAGTTTCTTTGCTCACTGGCTGTGCGTATCTGCAATGTGACTGTATCGCAGGGATGAGTTGGTGGACGAGGAGTATTTGTTTTCCGACGTGAAGCTGACGGAGAGGGAGCAGGCGGAGCAGCGGTACAAGCGCAAGGTGCTGGCGCTGGCGAAGCAGCAAGTGGAGGACGTGGGGAAGGTGCTCGAGGTGAGCCTACCTTGCATGCATAAGCTCATGCATTGTGAACACGTGACCATCACCACATGCACCATCATCACATGCACCATCATCACATCCACCATCACCACATGCACCATCATCACATGCACCATCATCACACGCACCATCATCGCATGCACCATCATCGCATGCACCATCATCACATGCACCATCATCGCATGCACCATCATCGCATGCACCATCATCACATGCACCATCATCACACGCACCATCATCACATGCACCATCACATGCACCGTCATCGCATGCACCATCATCGCATGCACCATCATCGCATGCACCATCATCACATGCACCATCATCGCATGCACCATCATCGCATGCACCATCATCGCATGCACCATCATCGCACGCACCATCATCACATGCACCATCATCACATGCACCATCATCGCATGCACCATCATCGCATGCACCATCATCGCATGCACCATCATCGCACGCACCATCATCACACGCACCATCATCACATGCACCATCATCACACGCACCATCATCACATGCACCATCATCACATGCACCTCCTATAATACAAGCGCAAGGTGCTGGCGCTGGCCAAGCAGCAGGCGGAGGACGTGGGGAAGGTGCTCGAGGTGAGTGCACTTGCGATATCCATGCGCCTTCCGCTGCATTACTGCGTGCATCACCTGCCAGAGGCATAAGACAAGGAATATCGGGTGCAGCAGGTCAAGGCAGCGACGCATGAAGCACATGCTGATGTCTCGGCCTCATGCTTTCCCTTTCATGCTCTGCCAACCTCTGCCCATCCCTCTCTCCCTGCTTGACTCACCGTGGCAGTACCACCTGCCAGAGGCGTATGACAAGGAGGAGAAGGTGCAGCAGGACAAGAGATTCGCCGTGGCCATGAAACGATACCAGTGAGTGCGGTAGAGAGGGGTGTAGGTGTGCAGGGAGAGGGTGTGGTGGGTGGAGAGGGGTGTGGGTGTGAGTGGAGGGGTGGGAGAGTGTGGAAGGGTGTGGGTGTGAGTGCAGCAGTGGGAGAGTGTGAGCGTGTGCATGGAGGGGTGCGAATGTGCGTGCACGGAGGAGTGTGGGTGTGTGTGCAGAGGAGAGGACTGCACAGGCACTGTTTGTTTTCTCCGTTCATTCTTGTCACCCATCGCCCCTCTTTCCCTCTACCCATGCCACATTGTGTGGGCAGGGATGTGGAGGGCGATGACAAGGTGAATCCACGTGCAGAGCAGGAGGCGTGGGAGAATCATCAAATAGGTAGGTAGGGGATGGATCGCTGTGGTGTGGCAGGCCGATTATCAATGACGCTGCAACCAAATGGACTGAAGTGCGAGGACGAGTTTGAGGAACGAATCGACTTTGAAGCGTTCTAAAGCACATCGTGTTCAATCTTCCATGCATACATCATATCACACGCCTTGTCGCATGCACGCACCATGTCTCATGGGTTTGTAGCAGGCAAGGCGACAGTCAAATATGGGTCTAAGGATCGCAAGGTGGAGGCAGAGCAGTACGAGTAGTGAACATGCATGAATCAGAATCCTATGTTCGATGCGTCATGTCGCATCCACCATGTCATGTCGCATCCACCATGTCTTGTCGCATCCACCATGTCATGTCGCATCCACCATGTCTTGTCGCATCCATCATGTCATGTCGCATCCACCATGTCTTGTCGCATCCACCATGTCTTGTTGCATCCACCATGTCATGTCGCATCCACCATGTCTTGTCGCATCCACCATGTCTTGTCGCATCCACCATGTCTTGTCGCATCCACCATGTCATGTCGCATCCACCATGTCTTGTCGCATCCACCATGTCTTGTCGCATCCACCATGTCTTGTCGCATCCACCATGTCTTGTCGCATCCACCATGTCTTGTCGCATCCACCATGTCTTGTCGCATCCACCATGTCTTGTCGCATCCACCATGTCTTGTCGCATCCACCATGTCTTGTCGCATCCACCATGTCATGTCGCATCCACCATGTCATGTCGCATCCACCATGTCTTGTCGCATCCACCATGTCTTGTCGCATCCACCATGTCTTGTCGCATCCACCATGTCTTGTCGCATCCACCATGTCTTGTCGTCGCATCCACCATGTCTTGTCGCATCCACCATGTCTTGTCGCATCCACCATGTCTTGTTGCATCCACCATGTCCTGTGCATCATGTGTGGCAGGCAAGGCAACGGTGAACTTTGGGTCCAAGGACCGTAAGGTGGACTCAGAGCAGTACGAGTATGTGTTTGAGGATCAGATCGACTTCATTAAAGATACCATCATGGCGGGAGATGACAGGGTGAGTACCCCTTTGTATATTGGAGAGACAGGGTGAGTACCCCAGGACAGCTTGCAGTGACAGTGTGGGTACAGTGCTGTTCATTGGATGGCCTACGTGTGTTTGCCTTCGCCTTGTTTACGTGTGATTCTGTGGTGGAAACTAGCTCACTTATCTTTGTGTGCCAATTGGATATTCTTTTTATATTTATATGTATGTGGTGGGATTGGGTGCAGGAAGGTTCAGAGGACGAGGAGGAGAGGGAGCGGCAGGTGGAGGTATCGAAGGCCAAGTCAGCGTTTGACAAGATACAGGCGGAGAGGAAGAATTTGCCCATGTACCGCTACAGGGAGGAGCTGCTGCAAGCTATCAACGACCACCAGGTGGGTACTGGGGGGGTTGGGATACACCTCACCAATTACCAAGCACCCATGGGTTGTGAGACGGCTCACATGATACAGGCAGAGAGGAAGAACCTGCCCATGTACCACTATAGGGAGGAGCTGCTGCAAGCCATAAACGACCACCAGGTAGGCACTGTTGGGGTTGGGAGGAGTCTCAGCAATTACGAGGCACTCATGGCTTGTGAGGCGACTCACACGATACAGGCGGAGAGGAAGAACCTCCCCATGTACCGATACAGGGAGGAGCTGCTGCAAGCCATAAACGACCACCAGGTGGGTACCAGGCGCTCAAAGAGCAGCGGCCATGCATTCAGTTCGTGCAGAAAATGGAAACGTAAAAGTCGCTCTATAGGCGTTTGTCTCACGATTCTGTAATATGACTGTGGATTTGACCTGCTCCTGTGGGTTGTGTGTGTGCTGCATGCTGTGTGACGTGTGGTGCATGCGGTGTGGTGTGCGTGCGGTGCGGTGTGGTGTGGTGTGGTGCGGTGTGGTGTGGTGTGCGTGCTGTGTGGTGTCTTCTGTGCGATTTGTGTGAGTGCAGGTGCTGGTGATTGTAGGGGAGACGGGGTCGGGCAAGACGACTCAGATCCCGCAGTATTTGTATGAAGAGGGATACGGCAAGCGTGGCAAGGTGAGCGGTGGGGAACGGTGGGTTACGGTGGGGCACGGTGGGGCACGGTGGGGCAAGGTGGGATGGGGCAAGGTGAAGGGTCGGGAAAGACGACTCAGATCCCACAGTATCTGTCCGAACGGGATACGGCAAGCGCGGCAAGGTGAGGGGTGGGGGGAGAAGAGGAGGTGGGACAAGATGAGGAGGGGTGGGGCAAGGTGAGGCAAGATGAGGCGAAGGTGGGGAATGGTGAGGCAAGGTGTGGAAAGGTGAGGCCAGGTGAGAGCTTGGGCAGGAGGTGGGATGCAAGTTGAACCCTGTCTAGCAAACCTGGTTATACATTTTTTTACTCATCCTTGCCTGCCTGTCCCGCCCGCAGATCGTCATCCTTGCCTGCCTGTCCCGCCCGCAGATCGGGTGCACACAGCCGTAGAGGGTAGCAGCGATGGGTGTGGCATCAAGGGTGGCCCAGGAGGTGGGGGGCAAGCTGAACAATTTTCATTGGCGCTGCTCACAACTAGTCTCCTCTCCTTGTTGACTTTTGAGTCGACTCAAAACACAACTAGTCTCCTCTCCTTGTTGACTTTTGAGTCGACTCAAAACACAACTAGTCTCCTCTCCTTGTTGACTTTTGAGTCGACTCAAAACACAACTAGTCTCCTCTCCTTGTTGACTTTTGAGTCGACTCAAAACACAACTAGTCTCCTCTCCTTGTTGACTTTTGAGTCGACTCAAAACACAACTAGTCTCCTCTCCTTGTTGACTTTTGAGTCGACTCAAAACACAACTAGTCTCCTCTCCTTGTTGACTTTTGAGTCGACTCAAAACACAACTAGTCTCCTCTCCTTGTTAACTTTTGAGTCGACTCAAAACACAACTATTCTCCTCTCCTTGTTGACTTTTGAGTCGACTCAAAACACAACTAGTCTCCTCTCCTTGTTGACTTTTGAGTCGACTCAAAACACAACTAGTCTCCTCTCCTTGTTGACTTTTGAGTCGACTCAAAACACAACTAGTCTCCTCTCCTTGTTGACTTTTGAGTCGACTCAAAATACAACTAGTCTCCTCTCCTTGTTGACTTTTGAGTCGACTCAAAACACAACTAGTCTCCTCTCCTTGTTGACTTTTGAGTCGACTCAAAACACAACTATTCTCCTCTCCTTGTTGACTTTTGAGTCGACTCAAAACACAACTAGTCTCCTCTCCTTTTTCACACCCACCCCTTCAGATTGGCTGCACCCAACCCAGGAGAGTAGCAGCCATGAGCGTGGCTGCACGCGTCGCCCAGGAGGTGGGGTGCAAGCTGGGGCACGAGGTGGGCTACTCCATTCGCTTTGAGGACTGCACGTCCGACAAGACCATTCTCAAATACATGACCGACGGCATGCTCCTTCGAGAATTCCTCAGCGAACCAGACCTTGCGAGCTACTCCGTCATGATGGTGGACGAGGCACACGAGCGGACGCTTCACACGGACGTGCTGTTTGGGCTCGTGAAGGACATTGCAAGGTTTCGGCCGGATCTGAAGCTGCTGATATCGAGCGCGACCCTCGACGCGGAGAAGTTCAGCGAGTATTTCGACTTTGCGCCGATTTTCCGGATTCCCGGGAGGAGGTATCCCGTGGATATACACTACACGAAGGCGCCTGAGGCGGATTATTTAGATGCGGCGGTGGTAACCGTGTTACAGATCCATGTAACGCAGCCGGCAGGAGACGTGCTGGTGTTCCTGACCGGGCAGGAGGAGATTGAGGCAGCAGAGGAGATTCTCAGGCATAGGACCAAGGGGCTGGGGACGAAGATTGCCGAAATGATCATCTGCCCGATTTACGCGAACCTGCCCACGGACATGCAGGCGAAGATTTTCGAGAAGACGCCCGAGGGAGCCCGGAAGGTGGTTCTGGCGACCAACATCGCAGAAACTTCCCTCACGATCGACGGGATCAAATACGTGATCGACCCGGGGTTTGTGAAGCAGAAGAGCTACAACCCGCGCACCGGCATGGAGTCGCTTATCGTCACCCCCGTGTCGAAAGCACAGGCGAACCAGCGGGCGGGGCGGGCGGGTAGAACTTCCCCCGGGAAATGCTTTCGGCTGTACACAGCATGGTCGTATGCGAATGAGTTGGAGGATAATACCGTGCCGGAGATTCAGAGGACGAACCTCGGGAATGTGGTACTGATGCTCAAGTCTCTTGGGATAAATGATCTCTTGAATTTCGACTTCATGGACCCGCCCCCTGCGGAGACGCTGCTGCGGGCGCTGGAGATGCTGTACGCGCTGGGGGCACTGAATGACCGCGGGGAGCTGACGAAGCTGGGCAGGAAGATGGCAGAGTTTCCTCTCGACCCGCAGATGTCGAAGCTTCTCGTCGCCTCCGATAAGTACCTGTGAGTGGGTGGTCCTTTGGAATGCTGGTGGTTTTGCCTCGAGTGGGGATTGCAAGTCAAAAGGAACTGTCTCCGTGCTCTGGTTCTTCTCTGGTCCCATCTGTGCTGCTGCGGGCGCTGGAGATGCTGTATGCGCTGGGGGCACTGAATGACCGCGGGGAGCTGACGAAGCTCGGGAGGAAGATGGCGGAATTTCCGCTGGACCCTCAAATGACGAAGCTGCTTGTGGCTTCCGTTAAGTACCTGTGAGTGGGTGGGCTGCTTGAGGCATGGCTTGAGTTGTGAGTGCTGGTGGGTTTGCCCTGGTGACCAGGTCCCATCCACCCGGCCCCTGCGGAGACGCTGCTGCGCGCTGAAGATGCTGTATGCGCGGGGGACACGCATCGACCGCGGGGAGCTGGGCACTCACCTATCAGTCCCACCTATCAGTCCCACCTATCAGTCCCACCTATCAGTCCCACCTATCAGTCCCACCTATCAGTCCCACCTATCAGTCCTACCTATCAGTCCCACCTATCAGTCCCACCTATCAGTCCCACCTATCAGTCCCACCTATCAGTCCCACCTATCAGTCCCACCTATCAGTCCCACCTATCAGTCCCACCTATCAGTCCCCCCTATCAGTCCCACCTATCAGTCCCCCCTATCAGTCCCCCCTATCAGTCCCACCTATCAGTCCCCCCTATCAGTCCCACCTATCAGTCCCCCCTATCAGTCCCCCCTATCAGTCCCACCTATCAGTCCCACCTATCAGTCCCACCTATCAGTCCCACCTATCAGTCCCACCTATCAGTCCCACCTATCAGTCCCACCTATCAGTCCCCCCTATCAGTCCCACCTATCAGTCCCACCTCCGAGGAAGCAGCCACCATATGCGCCATGCTCTTTTCCCAACCTTGTCCCTCATCCCCATTACCCGTCCAGTTGTTCCAAGGAAGCAGCCACCATGTGCGCGATGCTGTCAGTCGGCAATGCCGTCTTCTACTGCCCAAAGGACAAGCATGTGCATGCAGACAACGCACGCATGAACTTTCACACACCTAACCCCTCTCCCGTGTCTCCCTCTGTTTTTCTCTGTCCCCTGTCGCCCATGCCCCCCCACACTACCCCACCAGCTGTTCCGAGGAAGCGGCCACCGTATGCGCCATGCTATCGGTGGGCAACGCTGTCTTCTACCGCCCCAAGGACAAGCAGGTGCACGCTGACAATGCACGCATGAACTTCCACACGGGCAACGTGGGCGACCACATAGCGCTGCTGAGGGTGTACGAGCAGTGGGCCGAGACGAGCTTCTCCTCCCAGTTCTGCTACGAGAACTACATTCAGGTGAGTGTGATGCAAGAAGTAGATGGCATGAAGAATATGGCATGAAGAAAATGGCATGAAGGTGACACGAGTTGCGACGGCGCGACAGCTCGCATCCTGATAGATGCCATGAACATCTTATGGGGTTGTTTCTCACAACAGAGCTGCTTCCTGCCCATGTGCTCACGAACAGTGTGTTGACAGCTGCTCGCCGTACCGTAATCTTCCATATGTCTCAACCAACCCCTCAACAGGTCACTGTACTCAGCTCATGAGGCTGTTGCCCGATGGGACCTCCTCTCTATATCCACCTCCCTGCCTTTCCTCTTCACCCCCGTCCTCTTCCCCCATCCCTATCCATCCTCCCACCAGGTGCGAAGCATGAAGATGGCACGGGATGTGCGCGATCAGCTGATGGGGCTGCTGGAGCGAGTGGAGATTGAACCCAGCAGCAGCAGTGGTGACCTGGATGCAATCAAGAAAGCCATTACCGCTGGTGAGAGGGTGTGGTGTGGTCGTGAAAGAGTGAGCTAGAGTGGAAATTGAACCCAGCAGCAGTAGCAGTTGTGACCTGGACGCAATCAAGAAGGCCATTACCGCTGGTGAGAGGGAGGGAGTGTGATCGTGGAAGGGTGAGCTTAGAGTGGAGATCGAACCCAGCAGCCACAGCAGCGGTGACCTCGATGCCATCAAGAAAGCCATCACTTCTGGTGAGAGTGCGTTGCTGAATGCACCTGGATGTTTAAGCAGGCCATATAAGAGGTGCAACTCCAGTTCAATTCTCCTGTCTTTCTCTCCCTGCTCCCTTCTCCCTTCTCCTTCCTTCCTCCCTGGCAGGTTACTTCTACCACACAGCCCGCCTTCAGAAGAATCGCACGTACCGCACCGTGAAGAACCCCCAGACGGTGCACATCCACCCGAGCTCGGGGCTAGCGCAGGTGCTGCCGCGGTGGGTGGTATACCACGAGCTGGTGTACACGAGCAAGGAGTTCATGCGCCAGGTCGTGGAGATCAAGCCTGAGTGGCTTGTGGAGATTGCACCGCACTACTACAAGCTGAAGGACGTGGAAGATTGTGAGTGTGTGTGTGTGTGGAGTGGAAGAAAGAAGGGGTGTTTAGGCATTTGGAGAAGAGTAAAGGTGTGATGATGTGTGCAGAGTGGCAGACAAGGTGTGGGGTGGGTGGTATACCACGAGCAAGGAGTTCATGCGACAGGTCGTGGAGATTAAGCCTTAATGGCTCGTGGAGATTGCACCGCAGTACAAGAAGCTTAAAGACGCGGAAGATTGTGAGTGAGTGAGTGTGTGTGTGTGTGTGTGTGCGTGCGTGCATGCGTGTGTGCGTGCGTGCGTGTGTGCGTGTGTGCGTGTGTGTGTGCGTGCGTGCGTGCGTGCGTGTGTGTGTGTGAGTGTGTGAAGCTAGGTGTGAGTGTGTGAACTAGGTTGGGTAGGTGCAAGGTCCAGGGCGCTCCCATTGCCTCCTCTCACTTGCTCATCTCAGCTCCAATCCTCCTAAGTTTTCTCCTTATGTTCCCATTTTCTCTCGACTCCCCATCCTCTCGGCTCCTCTTTGTGGATCCAGCCGGGGCACACAAGATGCCCAAGGTGGTGGGCAAGGCAGCCGAGAAGTAGCCACGGGCCAACCGACATTTGGTGGGTGCGTGGCAGCAGAACAGAACGGACGAATCCAAAAGTACGTGCTTTGCAACAGCATGGTACAGTGCGATGAGCACATTGGGGAGTGGGAAATACAGTGGGTTGAGTGCGCTCAATGGCGTGTTTGTTCCAAAGGCATCCGTGCACAAGTAAATTCACGCATGCACGCATGGTCTGCAGGTTCATGGGCCATGCCCATACATTCTTACAACATTCAGGTGTGCCCTGTGTAAGGCATGTACAGTTTTGAGGAACATCTTGAATGGTGTAGCTGTGTCTGCATAACAGTGGCAGCTCCAGCAATGGGTCACCAACCATGCCCAAGCCAAGTACCCCTAGCCCTCCTCTCCCACCTTCCCATCCATGCAGTTCTCCACACCTTCCGCCCCCCAAATTCACATATATTGGTTGAGTTAACCGTGTTAGGGCGTATCCCTGGCTGGTGGCAGGGCAACTGTTCTGCGTTGATTTGGTGGCAACTTTCCCAAAAACACAGGGGGGCGGAAAATGGGCATTCCACCAACTCAACGTGAAAAGTTGCCCTGCCACCAGCCAGGGATACACCCTTATAGAACACGTTCATTTGTACCTCTGCTGGAGCCTGTGGCTTTGGGTTGGCAAAATAAAGACGTGGAGCGGGTGCATCAAGGCGTCCCTGGCCGGGGCATGCCGGGGCGCCCCAGCTCGCCCCAGGGCATGCGTCTCTGCCCATGAAAAAAATTCAGGTATCCTTTCAAGTGTTGGAACCTACCTTCACCAACCTGATCGCCACAAGAATTTCTTGGATTGACACCCCCCAAAGGAAAAAGTCGCAATCAACCAACTCCTTCGCCAAAAACCCCGCGCGATAATCTTGACAGGTAACCAACAGTTCGAAAATCGCAAGCCTTTGGTGCGTGCATCATCCCATCCCAGCACGGCCCAACGCCTGGTTCCCTTCCATGTGTGTGTGAGGTGTTCCGGGCGACGTACTAAAATGGATTTGGTGAGTACACTGGCCACATCAACTTTCCCTCGAGGGACGGTTTCGGTTTCGCCTCATCTAAAGTTCTTATATTTCACACACAAAGGCGACTGAAAGTTTCTAGTACGCCGCCCACAACTTCATTTCGCCAGCTCGCGCTGGTTTTCGAGTTCCGTGTATTTCAATGCCAACATTCCTAGTCACAGAGTGTTCTTGGTCCCTGGTGCTGCGTGCGACTGAGACTTCGTGACGCGTTGCAGCATTGTTACTAGCGCCAAGGTGATGGGTGTTTTAGAGACCAAACGGATAGGTGCACAGAATGAAACACAAAGCGCCTCACGCAAACAGCGAATTTAATCCCACGTTCGATCACCATCAGCAGCCTACTAGGAATAATCGACGAGTTCACGCTGGAAGACGGACGAGGTCCCTGATAACCTTAAAGGCTTGAGCAGATTCAACAGGGTCTTCGAAGAGGCCGATCAGAAGAAGAGAGCCAGTCTTCATGATAACGCAACCACCAAACTGCAAGGAGCTTAAATTCGCGTTAGGGCACAACATTCAAGAAAAAAAAGAGCGAAGGATATGCAAGTCCACGGCGTAATATTGGTACTGTAGTGTCTTTTCTTACCCTACTTCTGCCAAAAAAGGTTCCTCTTTGAATGCTTTCCCCCATATAATTGTCCTTTCCCAAAGTTATCTTCTCACTTGCAAGATTCCTGCCAATATCTTCAATCTGCCCTCCAGGCACCTGTACAAGTTTGTAGAAGAAATAGTTTACACGCTAATCATAATATCCTAAAAAAAGGCAAACATTGAGAGAACATAGCTTGAATAGTCAGGAAGCTGTTAGAGGGGTGTTTACTGTTCATTCCGAACAGTACATTCCTAGTCACCATTATCCTTATCTTCTCAGATTCTCTAGTGCCACGTGGCACTCTACTTTTCTTGCACTCCAATTCTTGGTCCCACATTCCACTTTCCAACCTTGTTTCTTGCATGCTATATAAACCTTGCTTGTACTTGCCATAATCAATCAATTCTCATTCAACTCGTCTTCAATTACTCAGTAGCACCGACCTCAGTCAAGGAGTTGCAGAGCTTCCTCGGTTTCGCGAACTACTACCGTCGTTTCGTTCAGGGTTACGCATCGATCGCTAGTCCACTTACCGACCTACTTCGGAAGGGCGTAGAGTACGTTTGGGGTCCAGCGCAGCAGCACGCGTTCGAGCAGATGAAGCAGTCGCTCACGTCTTCACCGACACTGTCGTACCCTGATCCCACTCGCCCATACGTTGTAGTGACCGACGCTTCCGATCAGGCCATAGGAGCAGTGCTTCTTCAGGAACAGGGACGCGGGTTGCAGCCGATCGCGTACGAGTCGTGTAAGCTTAGGGGAGCGGAGTTGAACTATCCCATACACGACAAGGTGGCGCTCGCGATCATCCATGCGTATAAGGTGTGGAGGTGCTACCTAGAGGGGGCAGATAGTGTTATACGCACGGACCACTGTTCGCTTCGTTTCCTCAAGTTGCAGCCGCAGCTGAGTCGTCGCCAGGCTAGGTGGATGGAGTTCATGGAAGGGAGCTTTCACTACAGGATAGAGTACAAGCCAGGCGTGCGCAACCCAGCAGATCCGCTCACTCGCCCTAGTTGTCAGCTCGCCAGTCTCACAGTCACTGCTGGCCACCCACTTCTCACAGCACTCTTCGAGCACGGTTACACAGTAGATCCCGACTTCACACCGCAGCCGCCCGCAGGAGCAGAAATGCAGGGTAGTGTCTACATACGGAAGGGTACCACACGGATTAGGGTTCCAGCCTACCGCCCTCTTCGACAGCTCCTTCTCTCAGAGGCGCACGACGTAGTTAGTGCAGGGCACTTCGGAGCAGATAAGACGGCTAAGACGCTTAGTCGCACGTACTACTGGCTCGGGCTTGCAGCAGACGTAGAGGATTACATTCGCTCGTGCGACACGTGTCAGCGTACAAAGTCCTCTCGCCAGCGCAAAGCAGGACTCTTGCAGCCGATTCCACCGCCCGACCGCCCTTGGCAGGTAGTTACCATGGACTTCATCATGGCTTTACCGCGCACAGTTAGGGGTCACGACGCCATCTTCGTAGTAGTGGATAAGTTTTCTCGAGCAGCGCATTTCATCCCACGCACGGCAAGGTCACAGCAGAGGAAGCCGCGACGCTGTTCGTAGATAACGTAGTCCGACTGCACGGGGTTCCAGATTCCATCATCTCAGACCGCGACCCTCGTTTCACTTCGAAGTTCTGGAAGCAGCTTTTCGCACTGTTTGGGACTCGCTTAGCCATGTCGTCTGTGTACCACCCAGAGACAGACGGACAGACCGAGCGTGTGAACCAGACCTTGGAGCAGATCCTTCGCAGCATCACGATGCACGACGCAGCCGCACGGGACAAGAAGCTGAGCATGGCAGAGTTCGCCTACAACAACACGCACCACTCCGCCACAGGCATGTCACCGTTCTTTGCACTTTACGGTCAGCACCCCAATGTCCCCACTCGTGTCGATCTCACACCCACAGTCCCTCGTGCGGACAACTTCCACCAGCATCTCACCTTCATTCATGATCACGTGAGGAAGCACCTTGAGCTCGCAAATGCACGCATGGCACGCACCACCAACCGCAGTCGTCGTGAGGTGTCGTTCGCAGTCGGCGACCGTGTTCTCTTGGATAGCCGCAACCTCCGACTGCCACAGGACAGCAAGCTTCGTCCACGTTTCATTGGTCCATTCGTCATTGAGCGCGCACTAGGTCCAGTCGCATACCCCTTCGCCTTCCCGCACATTTCCGCATGCACCCGTCATTCCACGTGTCTCTCCTTCGCCCATACACCGATCCCAATGCCACCTTCTCGGGCCGTGATCGCACTCCACTGCCGGTAGCTGTTGACACCGACGAGCCCGACTACCAGATCCAGCGCATCCTCAGGCACCGTCGCCGTCTCCAGGGGGGTGTCACTTTCATCGACTTCTTGGTTCGTTGGCGTGGTTACGACGCAGCAGACGACAGCTGGGTTCCTTCGTCCTCGCTGTCTCCTGACAACGCTTGCCTCCAAGCGTACCTTCAGTCTGCAGGCGCCGCGGACGTCGCCTCCTTGGGCGGGGGGTAGTGTTAGAGGGGTGTTTACTGTTCATTCCGAACAGTACATTCCTAGTCACCATTATCCTTATCTTCTCAGATTCTCTAGTGCCACGTGGCACTCTACTTTTCTTGCACTCCAATTCTTGGTCCCACATTCCACTTTCCAACCTTGTTTCTTGCATGCTATATAAACCTTGCTTGTACTTGCCATAATCAATCAATTCTCATTCAACTCTTCTTCAATTACTCAGTAACTTCTTCACCTATTTCGCCAATAGTTCTTTCGCCAAAGTCTTCCGCCGCGTTTCATCCTCGACTTAGTCGACCCCGCTAATTCTTTAGCGGACTTAGGCCGTCGGGCCTAACAAAGCACTGTGCTACACCTATCCTTCCTACACAAATTACCGTCTTACTTCTGGGAAACTTGCATTCTTAGCATATAGGAAGCCATCATGTAGATTATAAATAGCAACCCCTTTCAGTTTCCCCCCATCTGGAAGGTCAGACATAAGATGTTCATCGACATAAGTCTGCCACGGGATCATCGTGGCTGAGGATGGAACCTAGGACTCGTGAGATAATTTCGAAAAATGTCATTCCCAAAAGTGGGAAATATGGTGCTCCGAATGCAACAATGGCCCTGTTCGATAGCACTTTGGGCCCCCTCGATGCAACCATTTGGTTTGGCTCTGTCGCCCAAATGGTTCAGCGTCGCGACAAAATGCAAGGGGTTTAGCCGCGCCGGCAGTAAAATTATTGCGACCGTCCCACTGCCAGCTCAATCAACCAAATACAACGGCCAACATGGCCGAAAACCACCACCTCAACGGCCCATAATACCCGCCAAGTTTTTGCAGTAGCGCGGGAAACCTCGGGGGTCGCAGGGGGGTCGTTCGCGCTAGCGGGAGTTTTTTCACATCGCATGGGGTCGCAAACCGTTTCCCGCCATACCAACAAGGTTACCTCAATGATTTTCGGGCGTGGTCACCCTCGCTATCGAACAGGGCCAATGAGAAAGTCCGGTGGTATATCCAGTCCAGAACCCTTCTTCCCCTTCCCCTCTGAACAATACCAGCTCCTGACCTCAGTCGTTGTCGAGCCGTCCCCCAAATCAAACGTCAAGAAGCCGAACACCTCAGCGGCCACGAAAAGTCGGGGCCCCCTCGGGACACTCGACAACTTCGCGACCCGTTGCGGTGACGCCACGTGTTCGCCCGCCTACTTCGCATCGGGCAACATGCAGAATTTGGTACATGGCGAATTCAATTTGGGACATTGCGAATTCGATCGCTTCTCAGCGCACATTTTTCGCTTCGTGACGTGTCATCGACTTGCTGGCTCGGCGGCGAATGAGAACTTGTGCCACTTGTGCACGAGCCCGCCAAACCCCGCCGAGGCAGGCACCACGAGGGCCGGGCGATGCCTCGACCGTTCCTGTGGGGCACCGACCCCCTTTTTTTGGTGGAAGGGGGCATCGCTCCTCATTTTCGGCATCTCGTTTCCCTTTCCACCTTTTCCCCAGCTCTGCGCCTTCTCCCACATTCACGTCCCTTAGCCTGTAGCCGGTTCCCTTCACCGCCATGTCGGCCGCCCCGAAAGTCGGTGAAGTGACGACGACTTCGCAGGACTTCCCTCCGTATCTCGACCTGGGTAGTGGACTCACTGCCAAGCTCGACGAACACGACTACGCCGTCCTCGTAGACCATAGGCTAGAGTTCAACGCCCGTTGCTTGGGATTCGGCCTCAAGTGAGTGTCCGTATTGGGATGTCGACGTCGACCGCTGGATACCTTGCAGGTCGACGTTGTTAGGGTTGTCCCACGTTTAGGTCGGCGCTACTAGTTTAGGGTTTAGATCACTACTCGATGACGCACACAGCCGTAGGTCGGCACTGGACTGCGATCACTACTACAGTAGGTTGGTGCCCGCATCGGTAGGCGCCATTGATTACAACGTAGCGACGGTGGTGCACCGTTCTACTATTGCCATCCCCGTCAGTTGTCGGTTCCATAACCCACGTGTCCATCCGTCGTGCCGTGCACGTCCTCAAACACATCTACTACCCATGCATGCGTGCAGGTACGCATAAATTCGCGCGGCGCCGGCCAAAATGCGATTGTGGTCGATAGGACTCGGCCGGCTTCGGGCGGCGATGGGCAAGGAGGACCACTCATGCTTTGCTACGGTGTTGGACGCCGACGTAGCTGTTATCCCCCTGCATTCGAGGTGAGCCTAAGTCATGATGGTGTGCCATGATGCCTATGTCGCTGCTCCGTTCTGATCAACGTCGTGGTGCCTAGCCTGTGCAGCATCGCACCGCTTCCAGGGGCACATTGCAGCGTCGTGGTCATCCTGTACCCCAGCGACTTGTTGCGGGCCGGGGGGGAGACGATCAGGACCTCTGTCAGGCACTTTGACCCGCAAACCGTGAAGCAGTGGCACCGCGACGAGGCGATCCGCGTGCTGAAGTGAGCTCAATAATGTAGTCGAGGACGCATGCAATTTCGCCGCTGGGCATTAAGCAAGTCTACTGACAATATGTGCCATGTTGCTTCAGGTTTTTCCGGGCGGCGGTGTTGGCCGAGCTCGGCCGCGATGGCCGGCAGTGGGAGTGGCCGAAGCCTTCTGCTGAAGAGGTGGCGGACAGGCTCGCCGACTGCGATGAACCCATTCGAGATGTGAGTACAGATCGTTTTACCGTCCTAGCGCGATGCCATTGCCGCCGTCGGTGCTCATCCTTGCTCTCTGCTCTGTTGTTTGCAGAAAGTGTGCGGCACCGTCCGGGACAGCGACGCGGGCTCTGGCCTCCTATCAATGAGCGCGCTGTGCTGGGTGGTGAAGAGGATGGATCGCCTGACCGGCGACGACCGTCGCAGTGCGACCAGCATGGACAAGGTCCTCGTTTCGGGGTTGAAGGAGCTGCGGATTCGGATGATCACATACATCAAGGAACACGTCGCACGAAAACGGTCAGGCCATGTTGGAGTTGCTGCCGATGCCTGTGACGACGACGCCGCGGAGGCCCCTTCGGCATCCCAAGCAGTCGGTGTCGCCGACACCAGCGGAGAGGCCAGAGACGGTGTCGACAAGGCAGATGAGAAGGCAGAAAGGTCTGTGGCGAGGACCGCGGATCAGGAAAAGGAGGAGGAGGATCGTGAGGAGCGTGAGCAGGGGCATGGGCAGGAGGAGGAGGAGGAGGAGGAGGAGGAGGAGGAGGAGGAGGAGGAGGAGGAGGAGGAGGAGGAGGAGGATGAGGAGGAGGAGGAGGACAAGGCGGCGGCGGCGGCGGAGGCCGTGGAGCAGGGTTTCGGGTCGGTGGAGCAGGTGGCGGAGGGGGAGAAGCAGCAAGAGGGGGAGGAGGAGGTAGAGTTCCCCTGGGCCGAATTCGAGATGGAGGATGTTGAGGGAGCGGCGGCGGTGGCCGTGGAGGGAGTGGCGGCGGCCGTGGAGGGAACGGGTGGGATGTCGGCGGATGTTGTGTACGTGCGAGGGGAGGGTGCCGATGTGGAGAATGTCGGCGTGGAGGAGGCGCACGTGGTTGGCAATGTGGTTGGCGACGCGAAGGAGGAGGATAACGCCGCGGCCCCGACGCCGACGGGCGTGGAGACCACCACAGGGAACGCAGGGGTGGAACGCCGGGGTGGAGCGGTAGAGGCGGGCCGTCAACCGGGTTCCTCAGCAGCTGGTCGGCAGGCAACGCCGGCCGTCGTCGCGCAGCTGCGACAGGAGAACAGGTGGCTGAGGGCTGAAAATGCTCGTCTCGAGACGGCGCTCGGAGTGGAGAGGGGTCGGGTGGACAGGTTTGCGATGGGGATTGGCCGCCTCGTGGACAAGCTCAGGTCGTTGGCCGACCAGGTCGCCGCCTCCGACCAGGACGCGTCGAGTCGGCTGATGGACGCGTCCTTGACCATGGCGACGACCGTGACGGAGAACATCACCGCCAACATGGGTCAAGCATGGGATGCGATGAAGGCGTACGCCGAGAGGGCGGAGTGCTGGTTGGACGATCTAGAGAATCCGGAGGGGTTTATGGCGGTGCAACGTGCGAACGCGGTCGTCGCCATGGGCAACCACGTGGACGAAGCGAGGAAGGGATTGGAGGAATACATATCGAAGCACCTAGTTGCCGCGCAGACCAACATCGCCGCCGCGGTAACTCAATGCGTCGCCGTCCCGCCGCCCACGCCGCACGCCCCACCGCCAGCCTTCCCGGACACGCTCATGAAGTCTTTCAAGGCGGACGTGTTGAAGGCGGTGACTGAGGCCACCCAGCAGTCGTTTGTTGCGTCCGGGTTAAACCTCATAACCCAGGTGATCGGCCATCTGGCGCCTGGTCGGCATGGGTCGTCGCCGTCGGCCAATGAGGCCGACAAAAAGGGTGCGAAAAGGGCGGGCGGCGGAGATGATGCGTTGAGCTCAAAGCGGAGCAAGGGAGCCGATGGGAGCCGCGGCGTCGGCCAGGTGGGTCCAGGCGGCTCGCGGAGCAAGGGAGCCGACGGGAGCGGAGGTACGAGCGTGGTCGACCAGCTCAAGAAGAACGGGGCCAAGGTGATAAGGACGCACAGCAAGGGCGATGGAATCAGGAGTGCGGAGGGGGGCCCTGCCGACCAGGTTGCCGCTCAAGAGGCTGGACCAACAGCCCCGCCATTGGTCGCCGAGAAGCCGGCCAGTCTAGCGACCGCACCAACGGCGATAGATGGCGGCGCCAAAACCGTCAAGGGACCGTCCGGCGGAGTGGCGGGGACCACGTCGATCCCCCGCAACCCCCCTGCGGCTAGCAGCGCGCCGATCATCGCCAACAACGATGGGCCGTCAACAACGATGGGCCGTCCCTTGCAGCTTCTCCAGCACCAGCAGGCACGTCTGCCGCCAAGGTTGACGCGGTGGATGCTGCGGCTAACCGCGCTGGTCCGTCCGCCCCAAAGGCGAACGGCTCAGGGAGATGCTCAGCCGCATGGAGACCCATCGACAGGACGTGCAGCAGCCTCCCGTGGTCGGTACCGCGCCGGCCACAACAGCACGTCGCTCGGTCACTCCCCAGGTCGCCGCCACAACGTCCGGTCCCCCACCTACCGCGCCTATCATCGCCGCCCGTCCTCCTGTGGACCCAAAGTCCGAGTTGCTTCGCGCCCGGTTAGGCGCACGTACTTTGGCAGCGCCCGCACGGGCTCAGCCGGTATCCAGCTCATGCGCGACGCGGACAACAACGATGACCGTAGCTGCACACACACTCGGTGCGGCTACTGTCAAGGCGGTGGCGGAGAAGGGCGTGAGTGCAGCGCTAGCCACGGGCGGCAGATCAGTTGACCCTGCACAGGCGGCGAAGGACCACAACGACGCCGATATCGCTGCCATCCAGGACCTGTTGGAAGCCGTAAACCGCCCCAAGAAGCCCCCTGTGCTGGCCATCTTGGACTTGGCGAGTCCCACTGGTTGTACAGCGGAGCCTAAGACGACCACTGCTGCGGTCGGCGCGGGAAAGTCGAAACAGAAGGGGACAGTGGACGCAGGGAAAGCGAGGCCGAGCTCGAAGAAGAAAACACGGGCGACGTCGGCGATGGTGAAGTCGGTGGAGAAAGGACAGGGGATGGCGACGGCGATGGTGAAGGAGAAGGCGGCGGAGAAAGGGAAGGAGAAGGAGAAGGAGATGGAGGAGAAGAAGGAGAAGGAGAAGGAGGAGAAGGAGAAGGAGGAGAAGGAGGAGGAGGAGAAGGAGAAGGAGGAGGAGGAGGAGGAGGAGGAGAAGGAGGAGAAGGTGGAGGAGGCGGAGGTGGAGGAGGAGAAGGCGGCGATGGAGGAGGAGAAGGTGAAGGTGAAAGAACGGAAGGGTCATGGCATCCGCCACGAGACCACGGGCGACAAGCAAGGGTGGGTGGGCGAGATTAAGGTGGTCGGGAACGAGAGCAGATACATCGGCAAGTCCCGCGAGAAGATGGAGCTGGCGTACCTTCACTCGATTGTGTACCTCCTGTACGACGGTTACGTCAGCAAGATCCTCATGGCCGAGCTCACCGGCTTGGAGGAAACAGTGATGAAGCAGTGGAGGGCGGTGTGGAAAGAAGTCCGGTTCTTGCCGACTGGGATGTGGACGGTGATATGGGCACGGGGCGCGTTCCTCCCAAAGACACGGTAAGTCGGATAAACGTCGGCCAAGCGATGATGTCGACGTCGGCGTTCCTAACGACTAGTTTCGTGTGATTGCGTGACAGGCTCGATGATATCCTCAGGAAGTATCGAGCGTACAAGACATTAGGCGATGCGCACCACGACGCGCTTTTGCCCGCGATCTGGTTCCCCGTCGATGCCAACGCGAAGGAAGGGAAGCAGAAATCGGATGCAATGATGTCGGCCATGATTGATCGCGTGTCCTTGTGCGCGGCGTATGGGAAGGTCGCTGCATCCGCGGCGAGAAAGGAGGGCGACACGGATGAGACGACGGCGAAGGTCGCACAGGCGCTATCGGCCTCCGCTTGCGCCATGTGGTGCTTAGTCGAGGGCGACGGCGCCCAGGTGGCTGATGCCGTGCGCGAAGGGAAGGCGGCGGCGATGTTGGTCGGCGCGAGCGAGACTACCGCCGCCGAGTTCAAGAAGGTCATGACGGCGGTGCCGGAGGCCGCGATCAGCAGGCAGCAACCCCTCGGGGAGGTTGCGCACAACGTTGCACCGGCGCTGGAGTCCACCGCTCTGGCCAAAGCCTATCCGGGGTTGGATGTTGATGCCGAGGCCAAACTGATCGCACGAGCGACGGTGGAAACCCTCGCGTTCTGGGGAATGTGCCCCGTGGATGGGCCGAAACTCAGGAAGATCGACATCGCGGTGCCGCTTGACGCGCAGATGGAGTACGATATCGAACACAGGGGGAGGAAGAGGCAGAGGGGCAAGCAGGGCAAGGACAGCTCGGGGAAGAAGGGGAATAAGGGCAGAGCGGGCAAGGACAGCACGGCGGCGTAGTCGGCATAACAATCTGCCATGGGCGGCAGGAGGGAGCGCAAGTAGGTCTTCTTGCTAGGATGGCCTGGTATGGGCGGCGTCGATTGTGTAGTTTTCGTTGGGATTTTTTCGTTTGATTGTATAGTTTTCGTTGGGATTTCTTTTCGTTTGTGGTTGCGTATTTCTTTTGTTGGCTGTAACTTTTTGGTGGTGCATGTTACTAGAACACTCCTCGGCAAGGTCGACCTGATCTCTACCATGTTACTCAAATGCGACACTGCGATGAACCCCGTCGGCGTATAACAACTCGGCGTCGTACGGTGTCGACATAGTGCGTCTGGCTGTATGCATGTATATACTCGGCGATGAGCCTCGTCGGCTAGACCGAGATGGTCAATGGTCGGCGCTTTGGGGAATGTACCGCGCCGCCCAGTTGGCCGAAACTCTAGGAGGTCGGCATCGATGTGCCGTTTGACGCGCATATCGAGCGGGCATGGACAGCACGGATGCGTAGTCGGCACGCGGAGGGAGCGCTAGGTGGTATGATTGCTCGCTTATAGCGTGATCGGCACCGTTTGCGCCGTTTGCATGCAGTCAGCGATGTCGACATGAATAAGGCACAATGAATCGCACACACATGGTGGCGACTATGTCGGAGTCCGACATATCTGGTTCGGATGTATGTGTTGGATCATGTATGTTCGTGTTGCATCACCATCAACAAGTACGATGGGATCACTGCGGTTCGCTAAATTAGGGCATCATCAACCTACGCTAACACATATGCACCGAGGATCTTCATGCCGACTTCTTGCGCTTTGACGGAGGACGCTGCGCAGGTGCGGTCTGCTTGGCCAAGTCGGCCACGGTCTTCGGCATCTGCACCACCCAAGTGTCTGGAAACAGGCGGTCGACCCACGTCGTCGGCTTCAGCTCGAGCGCCACCAGCGCACAGGCGAGGCGTAGCTTCGAGACCACCTTGGGGGCAAGCCCCTTGACGTCCATGCCAGGCTCCTTGGACATCGTCGGTGCCGTCTCCGGGTTGAGCACCGTGAGGGCATCGCAGAAGGTCCCAATGCCCGGTGCCGCGATTGTGTTCAGTGCATCGACCACGGCTTCGGTGTCGGCATCGCCGTCGCTTGCGCGTAGCTGGCGCACCGCATCCATGGCCTTCAGCATGCGGCGCACCCTCATGTTGAGTGCACCCTGGGTCGCGCCTTTGAGGAGGGTGTGGCGGTCGATGAACCCCGGCTCGGCGACCCTGTCGCAAAGACGACGGGTGTCATTGGCGGTGGCGGAGTTCCAGAGGCGCCAAGCGTCCCGCACGGTCTTTGAATCCCGCCAAGGTTGCACCACGTTGAGCTCGTAACTGGCCTCCTCTGCCGTCTGGGGGGGTGGCGGGGGTTTCCCATCATCTCTCTTGGCTCCGGTCACCGTGTTGGCCGAATCCGCGGAGCCACCCTCGCCCGGAGCTTGCTCGGTCGCCGACGGCGGCGCCGCCGGCATCCTCCGGGCTTCTGACACACGGAGTGCCTCGGTGACTCAAGCAAGCTCGGCGGTGAGCGACGCGATTGTGTCGTTTTGCATCTCGATCGTCTCCTGAAGGCCTAGCTTCTCGAGCGCCGAGCGCTCGACCTCCTTCTTCAGCGCCTCCTAGAGGGACATGTTGTGATACTGGGTGTCCATGCGGACGGATATTTCCTGCAATGTTGAGTGTGCGAAAAGGCGACAAGAGGTTAGAATTCACCGGTTAGAATTCAACGACGCCGACATGGTCGGCGACTCACCTCCGGGTGAATCTAAGTCGGGTCCCGGCGCTTTTTGATCGTATCGGCGTCGACCGACTCGACCCTTTTCGCCCAATGCTGGAAGAGGGCAATCCTGCAGAGCTTGGAACCTTGGACGTACGGGTGCCACGGTGTGCGGACGAGCTTCACCGCGAGGTCCTCGGCGACGATGCGTCGGAACATCACGAGGGTGCGCAAGAAGTGCACTGCGGCTTTGTCGGCGTCGCTCCCGTTGACGGCACGCGTCTCCGCCTGCAAGTCTGAAAGTGGCGTGGGTTAGTAGGGAGTTGGGCAGCCAACTAGGCCACGACGACTGAAAAACATTATCAGCGTCGCGTGACATACATCGCGCAACATAGCATCCACGCCGGGGAAGATGTGCTCGGCGAGCAGGTCCAGGAGTTTGTCGGAGGGCTCGACCCTGCTGTGCCCCAAGAAGTAGTCTTGCTTGAGTCCCGAGTAGCCGGCCTTCCGCATCACCACCCCAACGGGAATGGCCGTGATGTACGCACGCGTCATCTTGTCGAGAGCCCAGTGTCCCAGCTCGGCGATCTCGGCGCGCGCCGTCCCTCCGATGGCTAGCTCCTGCGCACCTCCGGCGCGGGCGACGTGCACGTTCCTTTTGCAGAACACCTTGTTTGTCGTCCACATCTGCCGAGTCCAACGTTGGTGGGTGGCGGCGGGCAGCTCCTCCTGCTCCTTGTCGTTTTTGGCGAAGAAGAGATGCTTCTTGTACCAGCGTCCGCGTTCAGTGGTGTCAAGCGGCGGAAGGAAGTCGGTGCCGGAGAACTGACCGATCTGGTCGAGGATGAAGTGCAGCCACAGGCCGGTCTCGCCGACGGCGCACAGCTCCGCTTCCAGGTGTCGCGCCGCGTAGCTCTGCTGAAGACGGGCATCCTTGGAAGTCTTCGAGTTACGCGCGGCGATCACCATGACGACCGGCTGGCTATCCGGGTTCACCTCCGAGGTGCTCGCCAGGTGGTACAAGAAGACGTCGGGTAGCGTGATCTCGCGGATGCTGGCGCCGCGCAGGAGAGAGTGGTGGGAGAGTAGCGTGAGCACCTTGACGAGCAGGAATCGCCACAGCGTCTGCGACGGAGTGGTTGCCCGCGGGTTCCACGCCGCCGCCGCCCATGTCGGCAGCACCCTCATCATGATCTGGCGGAACTGCTCGGCGGTGTAGGTATCGCCGATGGTGCCGCGTCGACGGTCGGCGCAGTTCCTGAACGCAAATCGGCGGGGAAAATCTGTTAGACTGCGTCGACTTCACAGTGCACAGCGATATAGAATAAGGTTGTCGACCAACTTACTTGATGTCCCTCTCGTTCTTGTGGCGGACGTTGAACCGCACCTCCGATCTGACCACCGAGATCTCCCTCATGATGCCCAGCTCCTTCTCTCGGTACAGCGTCGCCTCCACCCTCGCCGCCATCTGGCATGCCTTTATGCGCCCGAGGATCGTGTGCACAGTTGTCGACCTCACAGGCCCCGTTCGCGTGGCATTGTTCTCCTCCCCGGGCTGGTCAACAATGAGGTTACACTCACGGCTCATTTGCTTCACGTAGGCGCGCAGCCGGGTTTCGGTGACCCTAGGGCCGTGCAGCCAGATGTACTGTCGGCGGACCACTTTCTCGTTGCACCAATCCTTTTTCTTGTTGTCGCGGATGTAGTGGCCGATCTCGTCGACGTGCCTAAGTCGTTGCTCATGGGGTAGCTTGTCGCGTATCTGCTTCAGCATCTTCGCCGCCCACTTCTTGTAGTGGTAGATGAACGCGGTGTACAGCCTGAGCGTGCTATCCTTCTCCAAGCATTGTAGGTGTCGTAGGGCGTCCATTATGAGCACGTCGATGCTGGAGTACACCATGTCGTCCACTACAAAGTCCGTCGCCTTCCACCCTTCGCGCGGCACCGCCATGTGCTGATTGTCCTCCTTCTCGTCCTGTTCGAGCATGTCATGTATGTATTCAAATTCCCGCCTAAGGCGTTCTTCCAAGGTGCGCGGATTCGTGCTACGTGGAGGACGGTCGTCGACTTCGTCGTCGCTCTCTTCCTCGTCCTCGTCGTCGTCATCACCTTGGTTTTCCGAGCCGGCCGGCACCGACGAAGGTCCAGGCTGCCCATCTGACGTCGGTGTCGACTTCTTCGTAAATTCCCCTATTGGCGGATTCGGTATGTCCTTGGTGTACTCGCCTTCGGGAATCAGAGTCAGTTTGTCAAGATCGTAAAGCAACTTCAGCGTCTCTACGGGGGCAGAGGACGGACTGTGGTCGGTTGGGGTACCAACGTCGGGCATGTCGACGTCGTCCATGACCGCTCGTATGCTCTACCGCCGGCCGTGGAAGAGGGAAAGATTGGTAAACCAGAGACGGAAGTGATTCACGTCGACGCCTGAGTGCCGACCTAAGTCTATTCCAGGTCGACGCCTGAGTGCCGCAGCTCGGTCGACTCGGCCGTCGAGTAACCTAGACCCGCAGAGATAGCGAGGGTCCTGTGAAGAAAACAAAGTGCCAGATGACGCACAGGAGCATGAGAGAAACACGAAGCTGAACCGGCAGAATGAGAGCGTTGTGCGTGGTCAAAGAGGGGTATGGTTGCGGGCCACTGTGCACCTGCCGCGCTCCACGCAGCCCTCTTTGCAAGCGCCGCAGTGCACGTGCATGACGTGTCACGATCGATGCATGTCTACTGTGACGCCGCTCTGCGCTCAACGGCACTCCCGCCTGTGCCTTGCCACGGTGGAATTCACGTGCGCCACGTGCAATAGGCCAATCACCTAGTTCCACTCTCCCGAAATGCCGTAGCGTCCTGCTCTCCCGCGCAAACCTCATCGACCTGCGAGTAGGCGCGTGGCCGGAGGGTTGGTCGACGCCGACATTCCCTGAGTCTGGGGCTCTATTCGCCTATGCATTGTTTGGTCCGCACAGAACCATCCGCGTGGGTCGTGCTGCTGCGGTTGGATCTTCGGGCGACACCGACATCTCAATACCCCGCGTTCTCTGGCTATCTAGGTGGTGGACACATGCCAGTCGTCTTTCGCCGCGTGGACGATGGTTACATTTTTCGTCGGCGCGCCAAGTTTCGCGCGCAGCGAAATATACCCGGTGGTGCGAAGCGGGGCCACGTCGGCGCCGTCGTGGCACCTCCCGATTGTCAGGCTCGATCTCGGCCGTCCCTATTAGGCCACGTGGCCGTAATCGCGGTTCGGCGCACGACATGTCGACCTGTGGTTCAGGGTCCGCTGAGATATCCTTCTCGGGTTTCTCTCAGCGAAACCCGAGGTCGTCAGGTTGTCGACGGGTTCAGGGCCCCGGAGGACTGCCAGCTCGCCCCAGTTTGCCACTCGCAGGTCGTCAGGAGGTCGTCAATCCCGATAGGGTTTGTTGTCCTATCGCAACCGCGAAATTGGGCGGCAGTTTTCGTCGGCTGAGGTATATCATCCCAAAGCTTTTCACACCAAAGCACGGCTGAACTGTCCCCTCCAAACCAAACATCCAAACATCAAGAAGCCACAGCTTTTCACACCAAACGTCAAGAGGGCTATCGATTGGTTTTGGGGTACCCTGACGAATTTGGGGGTCCCGCGTAGCAGGCTGTTGAGCCGAAACTCGGCCCTTTGGGCTTCAGGGCTAGTACAATTCCAGGCCCCCATGAAGAACCTGAGCCTAAATCCTCATGAAAAAATCCTCGTGTACACTTTGGCTGGCGAATTGGCGAGGGTACCTGGCATTGCTGGCCGGTGAGTGCGGGATTAGGGGGAGGGGGGGAGGGTGGTGATTGTATTGTATCACAACTCGCAAGGTAACTAAAAAAAAAAAAGAAAACATATTCACACGCATAAAAATATGCATCTCAGATTGTATCAATTACAAACAAGAACTTTCCTTTTTAGCGTGAATGTGAAATGTTGGACTCATATAGAAGACTGCCAGTTTGCTAAATGTCACAAAAATTGCATTAAAAGCCATGCATGCATTTTGTATTGTAAGTGGCAACAAGTAGATGCATAGTTGCATGGATGCTACGGTATGTAGGCCATTGGGCAAGCCTCTTGTGTTACATTCTGTTCAGCCCGTACAGAGCATGTACATGTCTTGAGGAACATCTCAGATGGTCCAGCCACGTCCTTATTACAGCAGCTGCAGCACCGGATGACCAACCCTGCTCAAGCCACTAGCTAGCTAACCGTCCTCCCCCACCTTCCCATCCATGCAGTTTGCCACCCCTTCTGCCGCCCGAATCCTGATGATATCCGTGGAGAACGTCGAGTAAACCGTGCCATAGAACACGTGAGCCCGCGCACAGATGTACTTCTCTGCCAGTGCCCGCACCACCCCCTTGCCTCCCCCCTCGGGTAGGCTCTGCTCTAGAGCCAATAGAGCTCGCCCCCAGGGCTCGTTGTGTGTGTCGGCCCATGCGAAGCGGCTCTCATGCAACGTCACCAGCCTGGTGGCGTTGCTGGCTGCATGGGGTGAGGGGGTGAGGGCAAGGGAACGGGGCAGATAGGATAAACTCATGGTTATGTGCGATGTAGATTCATGAGACTCATTGTGTGAGCATGTGCGAGAGCATGGCGACCTCTGCATCAGTGCCATCAGAGGCGGCAACAAGGTGTGCAGGTCGGCAGCAGCAGCGCGCATTTACCCAGCAATCTCATAACCCCACACTGAGACACATTATTACCTGTGATCAGTTGTGTCAGCATGGCGACCTCTGCATCAGTGCCATCAGACGCGAGCAGCACCGTGTGCAGTTTGGCAGCAGCGTCAAATGTATGACAAACCAACTGCAAGTAGTGAGCCCATGCAAAGGCTGCAGCACCTGACGGTCCCATATTGAGACACTTCATTACCTGTGAGCATGTGCGAGAGCATGGACACTTCAGCTTCAGTGCCATCAGAAGCGAGCAGCACAGTGTGCAGGCTGGCAGCAGCGGCGCGGGAGAGAATGAACGTCCCAACTGCTTCTATGGGCAGGAACACATGCCGCTTGTAGCTCTGCTTCTTTAGATGCCCCGAGAAATCGCCCCTGATTCGTATATTGGAGGAAGAAATAGGGGGGATAATGGTGGCAGTGTGGGGGGTGAGTGCAGCAGCTACCTTATCGCTCGCCCCTGCGGTGCACAACTCTGGAAAGACGAGGCTCGAGACGAGGGGCGGTGTAGCACTGCCTCTAGCACCCACTCCCCCACCTCATGAGGTGCACAGCTGTGGACTCACCGCCTGAGGTGCACGGCCATGAAGGGAGATGGCAGGTGCGTTGCGATACAGCATGCGGGCGCCACAGGGACTGTGATGTGATGAAGGGCAGTACAGCACTGACTGACTCAGCACCCACTCACGCACCGCCTGAGCTGCACAGCTGTGGACTCACCGCCTGAGGTGCACAGCTGTGGACTCACCGCCTGAGGTGCACGGCCATGAAGGGAGATGGCAGGTGCGTTGCAATAAAGCCATCCACGAACTCCATCACAGCAGCGTGCGGCCGCCACAGGTTGCTGCAGTCCGGAGGGACGGTCACGAGTGGCAGTGCTGATTCCAACAGCCAGTCATGGCCAATCACAGACGTTCCCGCCAAATCCCCGAAGGTGAGGATGTGGCCGGCAGGCAGACTGGGCTCCTCATCATTGCTGTCAGAGGTGGTGGTGCCGACTGTAGCAGCTGATGGTGGTGCTTCTGAAACTCCCGCTGCTGCCACAGATGCAGGTGGTGGTGCTACTGCTGAAGCAGCAGGAGGTGGTGCTGTCACTTCAGCTGCTGCTGCTGCTGCTGGTGCTGCTGCTGGCGCTGCTGTAGATGGTGTAACCAAGGCTGCAGCAGGTGATGCAGATGGTGCCGCAGCAGCTGGGTCAAGGGTTGCTGCTGCAGCTGCTGCTGTTGCGTCTGATGATTCTGCTATAGCCGATGCTTGGCTAGCCAAACCCGGTGCTGCCTGAGATGCTGCAGCAGCACCTTCGTCTATTTGTGTGCCCTGCCCCTCTGCACCACTTACCACCTCATTCAGTCTTCTCCGTGCTGCTGCTCCCTCCCCGCCACTGACTCCTGCTGCCGCACCCACAGCTTCACTTGCACCTGCTGTTGCTGATGCCTCCCCTCCCACTGCTCCGCTCCCTCCTACTTGCTCCTTGCCTTGCTCACCCCCTGAAGAGTCAGTCTGACTCTCTCGCTCCTCCGCTCCTCCTACCTCCCCCGCCTCCGCCCTCTCCTCCTCCCCCTCCACCACCTCTACAGCTTCTAGAAGCTTCTCCAACCGGACCTTCCCCATCCTATCCACCAGGCTCTGATTCACAGCTATCGGGCGGCCTTTCTTGTCCGCTAGCTTGATCCCAGGCACCTCTCGCAGCAGCACTCGCAGCGTCCACTCGTGATTACACGTGGGCTTGAGACAAACCAGGTGTGCCACGTAAGCATGGTCGGAGTGGGAGCGGGAGAGGTAGTCTGGTAGTAGGAGTGTGGTGAGGGGGCCGTAGGAGGGGGCGAGGCAGGTATGTAGTCTGGGGAGATTAAAGACGGCGGTCCAGGGCCAGATTAGGTTTAGGCCGGTGTGCTGGGCGACGGCGAGTGGAGGGATGAGCAGTGTGCGGTTTAAGAGGACGGCGAAGATGAAGTAGGTCATTATGCACTCCTGCTGCTCTGCGGGGCGGGGGCGACGGGGGTGTGGGGAGGGCCAAGGGGAGGGAAGGAGGGGAAGGGAAGAGAGAGGCGATTTTTTAGTTGAGTCAGGAGACGGCGAGGGGGTGGATTAGCAGCGTGCAGTTTAAGAGGACTGCGAAGATGAAGTAGGTCATTATGCAATCCTGCTGCTCTGCGGACGCGGGAGGAGAAGGGGAGGGAAAAGGGTGGATGGAAGGTAGCTTTGAGATGCCTCACATGTGGAGAGGGATGGGGAGAGGGATGGGGAGAGGGATGGGGAGAGGGA